AAAATCAAATAATTCCAACTTCATATGAGTGAGTTATACACATTTTAAAAAACGGGAAAATTTTATCAAACCGGGACCGGTTTTATAAAATGGAGAACCGGTAACCGGACCTTGTTACCAATTTCGGTTCCGGTTCCGGTTCCGGCGGTCCTAATGTTCATCGCTAGTCATAACCTATTGGTGGTAACGATGGCATATCGATTTTGAGAAAGGCAAGGTACTGACATTTTGAAGATTCATAGGTTAGTTTATACGTTAGCTCTCTCTCTCTCTCTCTCTCTCTCTTACACACACCTTGGAAAAATGTAATATTTTCAAATTTTATTTATTTATTTATTTTTATCTTTTTACAATTATAAATACTCACCGCTATTTTTTCAAAAACCACACATTTCTTCAGTTTCATTCAATCTTTCTTCAATCTCATTCATTTTCTCTCTAATTCAGTTCCAATTTTATCCAATTATATTCTAAATAGATTATCCTAGCAAATCCAAACAAAGTTGTTTTAACCAAAGACATAACTGACCAAACAAAACCACTTCACAAGATTTTTTTTTCATTTTTGTTTTAGAAACCTAAACCTAAACTACCCACGATACAAACACTATCAACAACAATATAACTCATTCTCGATTCAACAATCTTACAACCAATTTCGTCTTTCGCCAGAAAATCGGTTATATGCAATATAATCAATCAATTCGAGAAACTTCTTGTAATTTTGTGAAATGCAAAACCTAGAATCTGAAGAATCTAGCGACGAACCCGCTCTTGTCCAAAATGAACAAACAAGCGATGAACCCGAACCCATCGTTGAGACCGTACATGCTTATATAAAATGGAAAAAGTTAAAGAAATGGACAGAAAAAACAAAAGGTGACGTTGGCTAAGGCGTATATCAACGTTTCTGAAGATACGAAGAGGTGGCTTTGGCTAAAGCTCAGTTGGAAGGTTCAGATCGTATAAGGCACCAAATGAACTCCAAATGGAAGGATCTCCAAAAAAAAATATAACGATTTTAAATACATCTTCAACCAAAAAATTAAACGGTGTGGCCAGCGGGAGATCCACGGTTGATGTTTTAAAATCGAGACAAATTGAGTATCAAGGGCTTTATAAAATATAATTATTTTCACATGAAGCAGGTTGGGATATTTGAAACGCCGCGCCATATGGTTATGTGTTAGATAAGTCGGTGAAGACTCTCTGCCTCCATCCAAAAGAACAAAACATCTTCATCCAACGCCTACACCACCTCTTCAGATGCATAATTCTCACCCGGATTCGGCCAAGACCTGGAAGTGGTTCATTTTGTTGACTTACCACCTCAAAGACAACGGAAAGGGAAAAATTGGCATCAATATCCTCACAACCACCAGAAATAATTGTTCTCGTCAATGAAATCGTTGACATCCCTACTATAAGCAAAGTGGAGACGGAATAGGAAAAATATCAAGATGAAAAATTGTGCATGATGCAAGAAACCGAGCAAGGGAAAGTTGCACTCTTGGAGCGTGGGATAGTGGCGCAAGATATGCATTTTTTAAATCTACATGACCATTTGACTGGATGTTTGTTGTGATCGATGCTTGAGAAGAAACGTCAAATTGTTGAAAAATATGGTTGAGATTTTTAGAATTGCATTTTAAGATTTTAATTATTGTTTTTGAATTTTAATTGTCATTTTATCTTTTTACTTTTTATTTGTATTAGTTTATGTGTTATAAAAAAATATTATATTTACTTTTATTTTTAATATAGTTTAAAATTAATAGAAGTTTAATTTAGAAAAAAAAAATTGAATGGGTTGAAAGGAATATGAAAATATGAGAAAAGATGTGTTTTTGTTTGTTGTAGGTTGAAGAATAAAAATTAAAAAACAAAAAGACATAAAAAGTAATATAGCATGATGAGGGAAATGAATTTTAAATAACAAAAAAAATGGACTTTTTCTACCCTAACATCCTATCCAAAATTTGTAGTAAATATACAAAAAAAAAAAAAAAAAAAAAAAAAAAAAAAAAAAAAAAAAGTTGAATTAGAACTAGAGGTTAAAAGGGGACATCAACTATTCATCTGTGAATTGAATAGTGTTATGTCACCGTTTCAATAAAGATAGGATGATTCGTTTCCTGTTTTCATGTAACTTTGCTTATTATAATACATTTATTATGAGAAAATACAAAGATTATCTTTTAACATTGAAATAGTATCAAGCATAAAAACGAATAAACAAAAAAAATGTCTTAGAAAACAGAAAAAGTTTTCAGATGGATGAATTTTTTATATGTCATTATGTTGGTACTAAGTCTTTTTTTACTGTATTTTTAACGGTAATTAACAATTGCTTTCTTGTATTCGAAAAAATACAAATCTATTTACCGGTCTCAACAACAATACGAGAGTTACTTGTAGACACACCTCAGTAGGCCCGATATACAACTTGCCAATCCAACCAAATATTTACAGCTTAGGTTAAAATTTTCTACCTATTTAATTAAATACAAATATTAGATTTTTATTTTTATTTTTTTAACGGCAAATCCAATCTACTCTTAAACTACATCAGCTACACCAGATCAAACAACTTTTTGTAATAACAATTATTAATATTTATATTCTTTTAGATTTCAATTCTTTAAAATCATTTTAACTTTTTTGAACTAATCGCAACTTGAATAAAATAACTAACTATTACTAAATAGAACTTAATAGAAGACTAAATACACCAAAGGTGTGGTATACGAAATTGTTATTAGATTATTATAAATTCTATAGATCTACACATCTCCAAAGGATGCCTTTATATCTTTAAAAAGCTCATTAACAATAAAATTTGATTTTTCATTTTTATAATATGTTAAAAGATTATAAAAAAGAATATTGGTTTACAAATAAGATTATTTATTATAAAAAAAATGCAATAGTAAGTTTAGATATAAAAAAGGTAAAAGAATAAAAAAATACACAAATTAAAAAGGGAAAACACTAAGGAAAAAATATTCCTTTTATGTCTGGCTTGGAACCAAAAACGCAACAAAAACAAACTATATAACTGTCCCAATTTAAATAAATAAAAAAAAAGATTATTTATTATAAAAAAGAATATTGGTTTACAAATAAGATTATTTATTATAAAAAAAATGCAATAGTAAGTTTAGATATAAAAAAGGTAAAAGAATAAAAAAAATACACAAATTAGAAAGGGAAAACACTAAGGAAAAAATATTACTTTTATGTCTAGCTTGCACCCCACCTACACCCCCAAGGACCATTCGTCTAATTTACTCTCAATATTAATTATTTGGATTTGTAACTTATTAAGTGGATGTAATCCTTATACCAACCATCTAGCGCTCTAGCAACATATCATATTATCTAATTTCCATTTCATATGATGCTTTTGCTAACCAATGATAGTTACTACAAGAATGGTCATTTTAAAGAAACATATATTCATTAAAATTAGAATGTGATTATATAAAAATTGCTCATGACGATCTTTATTTTTCAACATAATATTCAAAGGAGGAGAATGTTAGATATTTAGTTACTCTTAGTGTGCTAGTTAACCAAGACTGAAGTGACAAACGAACCCCTTGTATGTTGGAAAGGCCAAAGCACCCTATTACTATCACATGTAACTTTTTCACATACCTATCTATGTTTCTATGATGTTGAATGGATCCACCATCAACCTCATAAAAAAGTTATCGAAAGAAACGCTTTTGTATGAACAATGAACAAAAAAAAACAATCCCTTTTACATGGGTATTATTAATCTTTTACGAGAGAACAAAAAGGTTAAAAGCATTCTCTTTTTAAAGACTTTACTAATAAAGGAAATATCGTTGATATGCTTTTTCCAAGTTGACTAATATTATATAATGGAATATTACTATATCTAGTCATTACCTTTTAAAACAAAATATTATGTACATTACTGTAGAAAATCTTTTCATAAACCCCACCACATATCTCAAAGCAATTTATAGACGCATACACTTAAACATTATTGCAAACACATGATAGTGGAGAAACTATATGCCTATTAATAACACTTATCATTACCCCACCTTGGTCCATCCGATGACACTCGAGATCTTGAGAACCCAGCAATAGATCCTAATGCTGATTGGTGGGTTCCATATTTATTCTTAGGCTTTCAATAAAGAATACATATATATTAATGTCGACGATGTTTTTATTATTGTTAATCAAGATTTTATATTATTTAACAAGACCATAGGTATAGCTGGAGTAATAAGACAATAAATAGTACGGGTAAAAAAAAATAATGGCAGACACTCCAAATAACTTTCAAGATATTTGACATGACTTCGGTTGGAAACATCTATTGATTGTTGATCATCAATTATATACATTTTTGGCAACCCACAGAAAGAGAGCCATTAAAGTAAAGTATGACAAGGACATTGTATGACAAGATGCACAATATGTCCAAAACTATTGCCTAGGACAATTTTGTCTTCACGTCTTTGAACAAACCATATATATATATATATATATATATATATATATATATATATATATATCTATATATATATATATATATATATATATAGACTTAATGACCGATAAATTGTTATTTAGTCTAATTCAAATGGTTTATTTGTTCTATTATAAATATTTTATTCAAACAATATCATTACTTATTCATCGGAGACCCTAAGTGTCAGCAAGATGATATTATTAAAATAATCGTGTTAACTGTTTTTTTTTTTTTTTTTTTTTTTTGTAGTGGCAAGCAACTTAACAGGATGATGACACAAAAATGTCACATCTCAAACATCTCAAACACCAACTTACAAGGTTATAAAAAATACTTGGTGGGTGTGTGTGTGAGAGAGAGAGAGGGTTTGTGTTGCCCCTATTAAAATAGATTGTTTTCCTTGTATTTTATTTCCTCTATATGATCTAAGGCCTACACTACTCTACACAAATCTTATCTCCCAAAAAGAGGCCTAAATTCGAATATGAATCCCATAGATGAAGTAAAGAATTGGCTGAATCTTAACGTGGGACAAAACTTTGAAGATTCTTATCCAAGTTCAAAACCAATCTCAGTGAAGATATGCCACTTCTGCAAGAGGAAGTTCTACAGCCCACAAGCACTTGGGGGTCATCAAAATGCTCACAAAAGGGAGAGAGATGCAGCAAGAAGATACCACTCACTTAACATGGACACTAAGTTCCCAATTCATCGAGCACTTGGTGTGCATACACACTCGCTTCCAAATGAACCAACCACAAACAAAGGGGGGCAAATAATGGTAACAGTGGGTGAGTATGGAGCAACATGGGTGAATGGTGAAGAGGGTTTAATGTGGCCTGGGAGTTTTTATTTGGATTCACAAATGGTGGCTTCTCAGCCATCGGATCAACTCTCACTTGATTTAACCCTCAAGTTGTGATTTTGGTAATCTACTTTATGTATGTATAAACTTTGTTGATTAGGTTCATTTAAGTTGTGTATGTGCTTCTTGTGATGATTTTGTTGCGAGTGTGTATGGGTTTTTTAAGTTTATATATATATAGCTAATGCGGAAGTTAAATGAAAAAGGAAGTGGATATATCATATATATCATATACATAATACATCAACAGATTTATGATAATCACTTACTTGTCCAGAAAGCATAGATATATATATATATATATATATATATATATATATATATTATGATTATCACACAGCAATTGATTTTATAAAAGTTGAGATTACTGAAAATAAATAAAGTAAAGCTCACAGTTACAGAGTATCAGGGATTTTAAGCTTTTGGGTGTTGTGAAAGACAATGGGAAGCCTTTGACTGATGATGTTTGGATCGTTGTATGAGGCAGAATCAGAAGGATATCCTTTCTGCACATTTTTATTGATTATCTTAGAACTAAATTCAATAATAAATCATAAGCTTAAAGTTGCATAATTATATTTAAATAGCAAACAGAAAAAAAAAATACATATAATATATAAAGTATGCATAGAAACAACATCATAACTAAACTTAAAAAAATTTCTAACAAGTTTCCAATCAATAATTCCCATGTTTGTCTTTAAAAGAAATTATGGTGAAATTAGTTGCTAGAGATTTGCCCAATTAATATTTAGGGTAAACTGAAAATTCAATCCCTGTGGTTAGTGATTTTTGGTCCATAGCTGGAGCTCATTTAGTTCTTCAATTGAAATTCAATAAACTCCTCTCTCATTTGAAATCAAATTTGTATTCTGATTTTCTATTTATATCAGTTTGTAGATATTAGTTTTAACATCTATGTCTCTGTTTTATGAATTTCGTCTTCCAGCTTAACAGAGTTATTGCATCTACTAAGGGTTTGTAATGTTTGATTCCAGGGATAAAGATTATGAAACTGGGTTTTGATTACGAATCTAAATATATTTTGTATTAAGTTTAGATTGGATTTTTGGGATTTTGGTGGAAATTGTTTGATTTAGGGCTCTTGAGAAGGGCGATGAAGAAGATGAAAGAGACAAAGACAAAATGGTCATTTTGACAAATTTAACAGCTAGGCTGTTAAAATTGACAATCCAAGAACATTAAAAAAAATGAAACCTAGAACTAGGGACCAAATTTGAAAAAAGATTCCTTTTTGGATCTATACTAAAAAAAAAAATCACCATCCACAGGGACCAAATTTTCAATTTACTTGCCATTTACAAGATGATATATTATAATGCTGACTTTGCCTTTATTTAGAAAAAAGCAAATGTGATGCTTTCTTTCCATTTTAAATTATTAAGATTCTCTTAGAAAAAAACATTGACCATTAAGTTTGAGAGAGTGAAAAGGGGCTTACAGAAGCAAGTGCCTTAAATGTAGTTTCCCTCCAGCAAATCTCTCGAATGATGACTGGATTTGAAATCTCATTAAAAGTGCAAAAGACACGAGTATCCCTCAATCTCATTAGGGCACCATCAACTCTAAGCTGTAACAACAGATACACATACATGAATATTATTATTATAAAATTAAAAATTGCACCAACATATTAAATTATTATTATTCAAAGGGAAGTCAACTCACCCAGAAACGTAAGAGAAGAAACCAACAACTAGGCATCACTCTCTACAAAAAGCAAGAAAAATAAAAACACACGTCAAAGTAAATGAAGGTTAAAAGGATTAGCTGAATAAAAATTTAAGATTTTTTTTTTACCACTTTCACAGTTAAAAAGGAGACTCCACTATCAGCCAATTCATCTTCATATAAAATCACCTCATCATAAAAGAGAATAGGCTCTTTTTTTGATGCAAGTGCAACCACATTAATTTCTTCATCACAATCCTCCCATTTTAGACAACCATTCTTTTCCTCACTATCACTGCCAGTCTGATCATCATCCAAAATATTTTATTAAAAAGTTGTAATTTATTAAATCACCATCAAATGATTTCATATAGATAAAAAAAAATAATAACTCAATAATTACCTCGACAGTTTCACTTCCAGAATAAGGTGTGGTGAAAGTGTAATCATAGTTCAGAATCACCTGCTGAAAGGGTTTGCTGAAAAACAAAATAAAAAATTAAAATTTGAGATTCGATGGAACTCTACATCTTGTAAATTGCTAGGTGCTAGTTGATAAAAATTAACCTTTGGTAAAAACTAGCTGATAAGCATAAGCTAGCTCAGAAATGTAAAATGACATAAAAGGGTACATAACTAGAATTTAAAATATGTATTGCACAAGTTTAAACACCAACCACCTAGACAAACGGCCCAAACATTCATCATAAACGTAATTCATATTATTACTTCAGTTAAAGTATTTCAGTAATTAACATTAGCTTAATTAATTTATATATATATATATATATATATATATATATATATATATATATATATGTTAGTAACCTACTTCAATTGACTACAGAAAATGTCAAGGATCAATAGTTAAATGCTAAGGCCTAAGAGGGTTGTTGATGTTTTATTTCCCATAGTTAAAATATCACAAAGAGAATAGGTTCTAGTGATGAATTTATATGCAAACAAGTATTTATGTATAATCATTTTTTTTATATTTGTTCAAATGGATGTCTAAGTTACACAAAATATACGTGATATGATGTAAATAGTATATTTTAAAAAAATTGATCCGGATGTTTACAAAATTCAAACATAATCTTTTAAAAAACGTATGATCAATAAAACTTACGACATGGTATCATTTCAATTTTTATACTTATTTCATTTTAATCAAAAATCACAATTAATAAAGGGTATATTTGGGAGAATTCAAAAAAAGCTCCATATACTCGATTGTTAAAGAAAAAATCTTTGGACATAAAGAAAAGGGGGAACCTAGTATTATTGCTAGGTAGGCTAGTAATGACAATAGAGTACATTGGTATGTTTAGTTTTTCTTCAAAAACTAATCAAGCACTAATTGTAATTATACTCTATAAATGAACACAAACTTATAATTCCAATGTATTTTCATGTAAATTTATCCCGAATGCTCACACATGGTACTAGAGTTCTAGTTTTTTTATCTGCTCCTCAACTTTTATATATTGTCCTGCTTCTCTTGTACACAATGTTTTCAATTGCTTCATGTGATAATGGCATTATTCCAGTATGTTACTGACTAAATAACTAAAAATTAAGAAGAAGGCTGAAGATAAAGTGTATAACCTTCTGAATTTCCAGTGTGCAGCTGCAGGTACTTCAACTGGGGGTAGGGCTTCCTTCTTCCAGCCAAGTAAAGCATCAAAAGCATTGAAGTGGATTTGTGTGCCACTGCTCACGTGCTTAAGAACCAAACAACTGTCCCCAAACATCATCTCTGGCAAGTGGGTTGTCTCAAGCTTTTCTTCCCACCTGCAAAAGGTTTTGGAAAACAGTATCCATAACTTATCAGGAATGAAAATATAGTTTCATAATATAGAGTGTTCTTCATAACTTGCAAGTGGCTACACACAAATTATTTTATTGCAAATCTACCAATTCAGAATTACAATTCATGTGTCAACTTAATATCTATAACTTGTGTCAGTCGCCCTACTTAAATTTAAAAAGATATGTAGATGCAAATCTAGGTTTTCATTTATTTCGTTTTTCCATTTTTTTGGGAGAAGGAGGGAGGGGAGAGGGCGCTGGTATTGGGGATTACATTTCCTTATGAGTCAAAAACATGACAGCCAAATGCCAACACGTCAATCCAAATTATTGGATATGTATCCAAGTTTTGTATGCCAAACCAGGTTTATATTGCACCTAAGGCCCTTCTTTGTCAAATCTCAGGAAAATAGCTAGTCAATCCAAGTTTATAACATTTTGATTTGTCCAAACTCAATCATAATTCAGAAAACAGTTCCTTACGACCTCATGTAAGATCAATACAAGTACTCGATCACTCTCCCAATTCCTAAGAATTCCAAGCTTTATTAAACAGATTATACTAAGACCTTCCAGAACATCGCCGAACAAATTACATATTATAACGTTATAACAACAACGTAATTCGCGGAATTCAACTCTTATTCAATGTGCTTTAAATAAAAAAATCGATTGTTTAACAATTTTAACACAAATCCGAAGTAAAACCCTAAGTCAATTGGCTTATTGGACTACAATTGAAGTAAGAGAGAGAGAGAGAGAGAGAGAGAGAGAGAGAGAGTACGATTGTAGGTTGAGGGAGGTGAGGATTGAACGGTTGCTAGACTCGATCTCCCAGCCATGAATGCGGAGTCCTCTACGTCCGTCCGGTAGAAGCTCAGCTCCGGCGGCTTTTACCTCTTTCTCGTCCGCTTCCCACTCCATCTTTGTATGTGAGTCGGAGTCGTAGGTGGTGTTTGCAGAAAAATTGAGATTTGCACTCAACCCACGCCAACTATAGCATCTAGGTTTGAATGATACCTTCTTCCCATTTTTACTATTTCAGTTAATGTAATGGACGAATGATCAAATTATTTTTCATATGATCTTTTTATATTTTTGAAAACTTCAAATTTGGTTTTTTTTTTAATTTGACTTATTAAGGTAACTAAGTATGTTCACATATGGGTAATATTGTTTTTTTTACTCATTTACCCAACTAACTTTTTTCAGTCGTTCACAAATAACCAACATTACCGGTTACTACCTGTTTTAGTCGGTTGCATTGATTTAGCTCAGTTAAAACACATTACGTGGCCATTACACCCTTTTCTCATTTAATTAGGGTTCGTCATCGTCAGTTTGGGACAAGCTCCAAAAACACACCCAGATTACCTTCTGTGAGAAATCAATCGATATAGCAAATCGACGATTATGGTTTGGAATTGAAGGTACGAATTGAAGTCGACTGTTAACATGGCATCCTCATCTATAGGTATGTATGTATCTGTAGATTTTCATTACAATGGAATGTTTTCGCCAAAACCATTAGTGTACTTAGACCCCGTAAAAACAAGTGTGCGTGATGTGGATTTTGGGGGATTTATGTATAAAGAGTTTCTTTTGTGGCTTACGAAATTAACCAAATGAGCCTGTGATAATGTCTACTATTGTATTAGAAAGGAAAGCTTGTGTGAGGGTATTAGAAGAATCGACAGTGATGTTGATTATTGGGAGTTTGTGGAAATTGTTTATAGTCTTGAGAGTGAGTTAGATGTGTGCATTGACCACCAAACTGAACCAATTCTTGATTGGGCTGATAACGAGTTGTTAGCAGATGGTAAAGGGTATGAGATGGATGAAGAGGATGACAAGGATTCTGAACTTTCAGAGACAATGGAATATGAACGTGAATGTGATGAAGAGGTCCATACTTTTGATAAAACTGTTGGAGACCCATTCTTGGGCAAACTTTCAAGACATATAAGTGATGAGGATGAAGAGGAAGCAAACACTGGAAAATATAAGGATGTTGTGTTCCATGTTCATAATAAGAATCAAGAATGGTAGCAAATGGTGCCAGTTTTGGGTATGAAGTTTTCTAACCCATTGGAATTGAAGTTGTGTGTCACCAACTATGCAGTCAAAAAATGGATAGGATTTATGGTATGAAAAAAGTGATCATCAAAGGTTATTGGTAAAATGTTGTAAAGGTAAGACAAATAAGAAGAATAAAGGTTGTCCCTTTAGGTTGTGGGCAACCTGGATGACCAGTGAAAAATCATTCCAGATTAAATCTCTAAATGATAGGCATAATTGTGCAAGAGTCTTCAAATTTGGGTCCATTGTTACCTATAAATGGATAGGGAATCATTTCATGAATCAGATACTTCCGAAACCAAAGATGCGTATAAGGAAGTTGAAAGCTAAAGTCAACAAGAAATTTAATTTGATTGCAAGTGTTGGACAATGCAGAAATGCAAGGAAGTACACATTTCAGGAGATAGAGGGTTCTTTAAAAGAACATTATGCAAAAACATGGAGCTATGGAGAAGAGATAAAAAGGACTAACCCTGGATCAACAGTGAAGATGGATGTAGATGGCATGCCTAATGGAACCACTTATTTCTCAAAGTTTTATGTATGTTTCAAGAGATTGAAAGATGGATGGGTTGAAGGTTGTAGGAGGGTAATTGGACTAGATGGTTGCTTCCTAAAGGGAATATGCAGAGGTCAGTTGCTTTCTGCTATAGGTAGATATGCAAACAACCATATATATCCTATTGTTTGGGCTGTTGTATCAGTGGAAAGTAAAGAAACATGGAAGTGGTTTATTGACCTTCTAATTGAGGACCTTGGAATGGGAGTTGGGCATGGACTAACCTTAATATCAGACCAACACAAAGTAATCAATTTCTATTTTTTCCATCTTTATTTGAGCTTATGTTTTTTTTATGTTGTTTATGTTTTGTGTTTATTACTAACAGGGATTACTTGAGGTTGTGAAGGAAAGGGTTCCAGCAGCAGAGCATATGTAATGTACTAGGCACATATGTGCTAACTTCATGAAAAGGTTTAAGGGTAAACTGTTTAGAAAGCTTTTCTGGTATGTTGTTGCATCTACTACCCCTACAAAATTTGAGCAACATATGAATGAAATTAAGAAATTAGAACCACTAGCTTATGATCATTTGATGGAAAGGGACCCTAAAACTTGGAGTAAAGCATTTTCTCATACTGATAGGGCTTGTGATGCATATGAAAATGGTATATCTGAGAGTTTTAACTCAATCATTGAAGCTATCAGGAAGAGACCACTAATCACCATGTTAGAAGAAATTCGAATTTATGTGATGGAGAGGCTTTATAGACAGAAGATTAAAGGGAAATCTTGGGATTTAACCATATGTCCTTCCATTAGAATGAAGTTTTCCAAGCTTACGGATCTTCAAAGGTAAGTGCTTAAATATGTTTTGTCCTTATATTGTCCTTATATATGTTTGTCCTTTAACATATGTTTGTCCTCATATATGTTTGTCCTTCATTATGTGTATGTGGACAGGTTTTGGAAAGTTATACCATCTGGTTATCAACAACATGAAGTCAGACTTGGGTATGATGCATATGTTGTGGACCTTGGTAGCAGGACATGTGCCTATAGAACTTGGCAGTTAACAAGTTACCCTTGTGTGCATAGGTATGCTTGCATTGCAAGCCTCAACAGGGATGTAGAGGAGTATGTGTCACCATGGTTTACCACAGCAATGTTCTTAAACTGTTATAGGTATACCATTAACCCACTCAATGGTAGTGACATGTGGCCTCATATAGACTACATCAAGCCATTTCCCCTCAAAAGGAGAAGGCTACCAGGAAGACCATCAACAAAAAGAAAAAGGGATCAGATTGAGAGGGAAAACCAAGGAAAAAAGCATTCATTCACAAAAAGAGGTAGTGTGATGAAATGCAGCATATGTAGGGAAAGTGGGCATAATAGAACAACATGTCCTCAAAAACCAATTGAGGAATCATCAGATCCAACTTCAAATAAAAAGAAATCCAAGAAAGCCGGTATGTTTGATATATATATATATATATATATATATATATATATATATATATATATATATATCTTGTATAACTTAACATATTTGGCATAACTTAACTTTTCAAGTATTGCAAAACAGGTAAAGTGACGGTTGCATTGGCACATGAAGTTGATATAGAAAGTGACAGTGAAGTTGAAATGGAACCTGATAGTGAAGTGGAGTCTTTTAATGTTGAATTTGAAGATGATGTTATTCAGGAACAAGCTCAAGCTCAACCTGAAGATGAAGCTGAAGTGCAACCTGAAGTTCAAGCTGAAGTGCAACCTGAAGTTCAAGCTGAAGTGCAAGTTCAAGTTGAAGATGATAACCAAATTGCAGTTCAAGATCAAGTGGAAGAGATTATGCAAGAAGTGACAGCTTTTCAAGTTGTAGTGGGACAGAGGGCAAGGAAACCTTCAGAAAGAATTACAAAACTTAAGATAAGAAAGAAGTGGGAGGGGAAACAGGGAAGCAGTGGTGACAATCCGTATGAGATGGAATAGCTTGTGGGCCCCCGCCCTGGGGTATATTTCAACCCAAATATATCACAGTGGGCCTCGCACTGTGGTATATTTCAACCCCTCATGTCATATTGGGCCCCGCCCTAGGCTGTGTTTCAACCCGATCACAACATGTATCACACAACAACTATCATACTACATAACCAGATAATGGGCCGTCCTTGGTGCCTTCGAACCGTAATACCGGGAAGAGACTCACCTCGGTCTGCTGATAAGTACTAACTGTTTGGCTACCGATCCAAAAATTTCACACTATATATATATATATATATATATATATATATATATATATATATATATATATATATATATATATATATATATATTACTCTAATTAGAATTATGGCACGAACCCAATCATGGGCCCAAAATCCCTAAGTCCAAACTCTTCAAATAAGGCCCAAAAGCATTTTTCCCTTTGATGGGCCTAACCATATTCGACTCATTACAATAACAGCCCTAAGGCCCAAAAGGCCCAACCCATGACACACAAGGTCCACAAACAAAACTGGGCCCACCTGTCCTAACCAAGCTAAGGCCCAAATCAATATTCTGGAAGTTCACAAAGCATCCCTAAACTCCCAGGGTCCAAAAATGAAGCCCACCACCTAAGGCCCAACCCCGTAGCCCACTGCTGAGTACGCGGGGCGTACTCAGCTTGTACGCCAAGTGTACACGCTTAAGGGCATGTACGAGCTTGTACGCCCAACGTACGCCTCAGGTTTGCCAACTTTGCATTTTAGCTCTTAATTGGTTAAGACATTAGTCCCAATACTCAAATCTTATCTCCTTGAAGTGGTTTATCACGTAAAGTTGCAAACTTTACGTGCATGCAAGGCTCAATAAGGTCCTAAAGCTCAAAAGAGATTAATAAGTGACTTAATACTTGCATGGAGGTCACAAACACCATAAAGTCTGTACCTTTAAACTAAAGGAGTCCCCTAAACGTCCAGATCTACAAGATTGGCATCTCAAATGGTCTTAACGCTTCAAGAGCAACCAAAGGGACCAAAAAGGACCAAAACAAGCTTAAGATGAGATCTAAGCAATAGATAAGCAAGGTATGAACTTTATACGTCTAGAAGCTCCCTAAGATGATGTAGATGATGGATCTAGAAGTTCCACCATGACCAAGACTTGCACCACAAGATCTTCTTCTTTCAAACACACCAAAAATGGCTCCTTTTTGTTACTTCAAGCTCAAAATCACCTCTAATGGCTATTTAGGGTTTTTAGGGACGTTTAAAGACAAGGTGGCTGATAAAGGTGTTGGGTTTTATGTACTCTAACATTCCTATGGTGCACATATAACCCTAATGCTTTGGATCTAAGTTTTCTCTAATTGTACATGCAACATTGGTTTCCAAAGCATGAAGCCTAAACTAGCTTACAAAATTTGATATATGAATCATAAAACTAGTTAGAAGATTACCTTTTGATGTAGCTAGTAGAACTTTGACCTTAAGAGAGCTTAGCACCGTAAGTGTTGTGCCTCAAACAAGTCACAAACACCATGAACAAGTGGAGAATAATGAGAGAGAGGTTGGGAGCTCCAAAAACGGCTAGGTTTACACCTTGGAGTACTAGTGGCCGATTTTGCAAGCTTAGGGACCCAATTTATAGTTTGGAATCTTTAGGGTTTCATACATAACTCTAAAACCTTTGGTAATCCAATGATCCATATGATAAGCCCTTTGGACTAACTCTTCATGGACTTTCACATAGAATTAGCCCATCACTAATCAACATGGATCATTAGCCCAAACTATAAATATTACTGATTTACCTAATCAGTCCCTGTAAATTTAATTAGTCTCTTTTGATCATTAAATTAATTCCAAATTAATTATTGATCAATACTAATTCAATAATATGATTTCTCAATTTAATATATTATTCTTATAATATATTAATAAATCACAAATAACCTCTTTCTCAAATTTCCATCCTATCAAATTGTCCTGGTGAAGGCAACCCGAAATGGACCATGCTACTCTCGGGTCAAGTACATACCAATTATAGTTATGGGCTTAGACACCTAGTCCAACAGTCTCCCACTTAGGCCTACCATTGCTTCCAGGTTGTTGAGCAGTTCACCTATACTTGTCAATGCACTTTCACTGATCAAGGTGCTTTGCATTATGCAAACAATTGAGAACTCATGCATAGTCAACTTTAACTGGAATGGGCACAGAAACAAGAATATGTCGACACGATAGGTTACAAACCTCAAGTCGTGTGCTAGTGATTAATAATAGGTTTATTCTTGATTAGTTCTTAAAACCTTTTTGAAGATCTTTAAGACTCTCACTGACCTCTTGACATATAAGATTCTCTTGTCAAGAAACACTCCTTGACAAACAAATATTCAAGAGTTAGTGCGGATTCTTATCAAGGAAAAACACTCCATATAATTGGTCTTAGTTGGTCTTTGTCTTATCCGAGACATCACAACTACCAT